TACCTTTCCCCCCCTGCTCCCACTCCCCTGTTGCTAACCCCGCATGTGAACTTCATTTCTGTGGTTCTGTTCCTGTTCTAGTTGTTTCCTTAGTTTGTTTTTATTTTAGGTATGGTTGTTAGTAATTGTGAATTTGCTGTCATTTTAGTATACGTGTTTTTTATCTTCTTTTTCTTAGATAAGTCCCCTTAACATTTCATAAAATACGGGCTTGGGGATGATGAACTCCTTCAACTTGACCTTATCTGAGAAGCACTTTATCTGTCCTTCCATTCTAAATGAAAGCTTTGCTCGATAGAGCAGTCTTGGATGTAGGTCCTTGGATTTCATGAGTTGGAATACTTCTCTCCAGCCCCTTCTTGCCTTTAAGGTGTCTTTTGAAAAATCAGCTGACAGTCTAATGGGAAGTCCTTTGTAGGTGACTATTCCCTTACCTCTTGCTGCTTCTAGGATTCTCTCCATTTTAATCTTGGCTAATGTAATTATGATGTGTCTTAGTGTGTTCCTTCTTGGGTCCACCTTCTTTGGGACTCTCTGAGCTTTCTGGACTTCCTGGAAGTCTATTATTTCCTTTGCCAGATTGAGGAAGTTCTCCTTTATTATTTGTTCAAATAAGTTTTTCACTTGTTGCTTCCCCTTCCCCTTCTGGTACCCCTATAATTCAGATGTTGGAACATTTAAAGATGTCCTGGAGGTTCTTAAGCCTCTCCTCATTTTTTTGAATTCTTGTTTCTTCATTCTGTTCTGGTTGAATGTTTCTTTCTTCCTTCTGGTCCACTCCATTGATTTCAGTCCCAGTTTCCTTCCCATCACTATTGTTTCCCTGTGCATTTTCCTTCATTTCACTTAGTTTAGCCTTCATTTGTTCCTCTAATTTGTGACTAAAATCAACCAGTTCTGTGAGCATCCTGATCACCAGTGTTTTGAACTGTGCATCTAATAGGTTGGCTAGCTCTTTGTCACTTAGAAGTATTGGCTCTGGGGCTTTGAGCTGTTTTTTGCTTGAGCCATAATGGTTTGGTCTGTCTGCACCTGTTATGCATGAGGGGCGAAGCCTTAGGTGTTCACCAGGGTGGGACGACCCAGTTGCTGGGTCATGATGCTGTATGTGGGGGTGGGGTCTAAGAGGGAAAAAATGGCGCTTTGCTCTGCTCTCTGTTGCTCCTCAGTCCCTTCCACTGCTTCCTCAAAGCAAACCGAGCCTTTCTGGTGCTGATTCCCATGTGGGTGGTCTTGTGTGTGTTCTAGGACCCTGTGGGTATCTCCATCGAACTTTCCTGCGAGGGTGGGAGTCTCCCTGTGCCTCAACCCCCACAAGTGTTTTCAATTGGTGTTTTGAGGATTTATTTCCTGGTGCTAGGACCGTGGGTTGCTTGACCTGTCTTGCTCCCCAGTTATGTGTGCAAATGTGGGACCACTGCCCAGTCAGTCAGCCACCTTGTGCACAGTGCCCCACTTCTCAATCGCTGCCTCACTGGGTCTGCCTGTTGCCACCCCATGCCAGGGATCTGCCAGCCCCTGCCTGCTTGCCCTGGGTCTTGCCCAGTGCCACCTTATGTGCCTGGGGTGCCTTGCGCGCCCTGGTGTCACCACTTTCTGTCCCGCAACTCCTCTCCACTGGGCTGCTCGAGTTCACCCCGCCAACTAGTCTGGTTGAATGTGTCTATTTTAACTCCTTGGTTGTTGGACTTCCAAAGAGTTCAATTTTCTTTCAGTTTTGGTTGTTACTTTGTTTCTGAAATGTTGTCCTTACTTTGGTTGTTTGAGGAGGCACAGTGTGTCTACCTACGCCTCCATCTTGGCCCAAAGTCTGAAATCAATATTTATCTAAGCCTTTAAAAATGAGCCTACTACTTACCTTCTTTGCACCTACTGAAGAGGACAATTGGGACTTGAAGCAGATACTCAGGTAGTGTTGGAAGACCTTGGCCTGCCTCACACCATATGGATTCCTGCTATGGTTGATAGCTTTGACTAGATAATCATTAAGATTCCTTTTAATAGTAAGATTGTATGGAATATTAAGATTTGGAGATGCTTACTCCATTTTTCATTTTGTGAAAGGTTTAGTCTTATTACACTTACAGAACCTATTAAAGACCTTAATGTTACATAAATATTAACTTATGAAGTAATGAGCTGAACAAACTACACTTTATTGAACCCCCAAAAGAACTGGGTTTCAAACTGCTTGCTACTAAAGAGTATGCCTTTTGCAGATATCAGCTTTAACTTACTAAACTGCGCTTCTATTTTGTTGATTTTTAAAATATGATTATCATGATACAAAAGGTCAAATGACAAATGACTTTCATTTTTTGAACAGAACTTGATTTTGATTCTCAATGGAAAACTGGGAGGGGGGAAAGAATCCACAGATACTCTTCAGGCATGAAGCATTTTATTTGTATTGCTGTGTGCTTCATTGGTCAAAGAGTACTGAGTTAAGTAGTCGAAACACAGCAGTATTTTTGAATGGATTTTATTTGGGGCAGGTCTGCTTGCCAAAAGTGGGTAAAATTTGTTGTAATAAATTATGGTCGGAGACAAATAATTAAACAGTTCAGACGTATGTGACTAACCACGTAACGCTTAACCTCATCATTTTCTTAAAGTGTACTGGTTATAATATATCTCTTGTTTGTTATGTGCCAGGAATTATCTTAGATTTTAATGTGTATCTTAGTTCTTCAGTAGCTCTGTGATTAAAGTGATACAAAGTTTACTTTATGGGAAACTTAGACTGAAAAGTACCAATATAATAACTTTGCTAATATTACACAACTATTAAATGTCAAAGCCAGAGCCATATGATTCCAAAACCTATATTCCTTGGCAACAGGGCTGCCAACCTATTTGCTTTATTTTTCCATCTGACATGTACCATAGACAAGGGTAAATCTTGATGTGTAGTTAGGAAACAAAGTAGGGAAAGTGGATGTAGAATTGTGTTATATTTATGTTATATTTAAATTGTTATGTGTTATGTAGAATTGTTATATATTTATGTTATATTTAAACTAGTCTCCAGAAAGTAAATGAGAATATTAAAATTTGAGGTAAAAGATTGAACAAAATAATTGAGCTAACTTTATACTTAATAGAAAACAGGAAAAGAACATCGGTATAATATTCACTAAGTTATAGACCTTACTAGAAGTTTATCAGTTTTGCTACTAATGCTTTGGGTGTACCAGGATGTTATTGCTGACCTGAATATTGTATTTAGCTGTTATTTCTCCTTAGCCTCTTCTAATCTGTAACAATTCTTCAGTTTTTCTTTGTCTTTCATGACCTTGACACATTTGAAAAGTACTGATCAATTTTTTTGTAGGGTATCATTCAAGTTTGTCTAATGATTTCTAATGATTGAATGAATTTGTACACTGTTGGTTAAAGTACCACAAAAATGCCATTGTGTCTTTCTTGGTGAACCATATCAAGAGATTTATGATAATATCTTGTGTTACTGGTCATATTTACCTTGATGACTTGGTTAAGTTTGTGCCTGTAGGGTTTCTCTACTTCTTCTAAAGCTACTGTCTTTCTCCTTGCAGTTGATAAATGTCTTGAGGGAGATACTTTTGAGACTACAAATTTATATCTCAAACTTTTACTCACTAAATGTGGATTTATGGATTTTTTTTTGTCTGCAACATTCATTTCTGTGTAAATACCTAATGGTGATCCTTCCTTTCCTTCCCTCTATCCCTCCCTTCCCTTGGATTCTGCTATGAGGAAGAACTGCCTTATCTCTAAAATTTATTTATTTATTTATTTGATTATTTGTATTAGTATGGACTTACAGATATTTGTCTGATTCCATGGATTTAAAGCCTAATATTGTCATCATTTTTATTTTGTTGCTCAAATTGTTTCAGCTTTTAGCCACTAGGAGCCCTGTCAGGTTGACTCCTGTGCTTTTATGTCCCATCATTTTTTCTTCTAGTGTTTGATTACTTTCTGACACTAAAAAATGTTCCAGTCTAATGTTATGTCTTCCCTGCTCCAGCCCTGCTGGAGGAGGGCTTTAGGAGCCTAAGTTCCTTATGTATGAGGAGCTCAAGTTTCTTTTGTTTGTGGAGAATAGTGTATAGAAACCAAGACTTGGCCCTAAATGTGCATGTTGCTATGGTAGTGTTATTGCTCCTAGGTTCTTTCAGAAGATAGAACTAAGTATATTTATTTGAGGAGAGACTAAAAATCTGGAATTATCTTCTGGTGGGTGGGTCCTTGTAGTACAGGCTTCCCCCATGACATGAGTGTTCTAGGAACCCATCTGTCTCAGTGTACCAGCTGGCATTACTGTGAGAGGCTATGTTCGGCTTCAGTGAATTTTTTTTGAAGACTTTTCACTGTGTTTGTTCATTTCATGATGGATGATTTAGGAGTGCATCTGCCCACACTGTGCAGAGTGTTCATCAGTTTTAGACCTAAAATGGCCCTGCCTCCATTCCCCATCCTCCCTGTTCACCCAGTGACTTTTTTCTGTTTCCCCGGATGAAAAAAGTCCTCAAAGGGAAATATTTTGCTGCTGTGGAAGAGGTGAAACAAAAAACAGCAGAAGCACTTAAAGACATCAAAATCAATGAGTTCAAAAACTGTTTTGAGCAGTGGAAAGCATCTCAATAGGTGTATTGCATCAAACGGAGAGTACTTTGAAGGTGACTAAAGTTTAAACATGTAAGAAAAATACACAATTTTATTATAAATACCATTTTTGGGGGGTTGCCCCTCATATGTATAGTAGCTACATTACAAATTAATAATTATACTGAATGGAACAGAGGAAAAAACTAAATGTTTATTAAAATACTTATTTTAAATATTTAGAAAACTAGCAAACTTACCATATTTTGACGTGTATAATGTGTACTTCATTGTCCAGATTTTTGAGGGGAAAAATAAAGATGTGCAGTATTGTACATGGGTAGTACTAATTCTGTATGTATGTAAATGTTTTTAATTCTTTTATTTATGCTTATGCATTAGAAGTTTAACTCTAGAAAGCAGTAATGATATCTATATGGGAAATAATACCCTGGAAATGATAATTGGTTTTGTTGAATTGATGATGAACTTGCAATGAAAACAGTTTAGGCTAATGATTCAATGAAATGAAACAAAGTGATGTATTGTTATCCACTTGGTAAGATAGGTGATGCCGACTTTATTACCATAAGGTGAACAGCACAACATTCCTCTCTGTACATTTTAGGTGGGAGAAATTATTGAAAAATCCCTTGGAAAATGTCAAAACAGTTTTCATACACTGTAAGCTTTAAACTAAAAGTTATTAAATATGCTAAAAAAGCATGAGAACATAGCTGCCGAGAGACACTTTGAACCTCTTCCCACAGAGAGTGCCATCTGATTGTGAAGGCAATGGGAAGAAAAGCTTCTTCAGATGCCTGGACAGAAGGCAATTTAAGGGAAATCTCCCAAGTGGCCAGAGGTAGAGCAGGAGGTGTAGACCTGGATTCTGGAGCAGCGTCACACTGGGATGTCTGTTTCAACCAAGACAATACAAGAAGGTAAAAAGATTGTACAATAAAAAAACATTGATGATTTCTCATGGACACCTAAGTGGTGCTTTAACTTTATGAAGAGAAAAAGTTCGAGCATGAGAATATGAACAAAACTTGCCCCAAAACTTCCAGGAGCCTATGAGAATCAAGTTTTAGAATTTCATTCTTATGTTATTAATCTTCTAAAGACTTACAGCTTTGAGCTCTCTCAAAACACCAATGTGGATGAGGTCCCACTCATATTTGATGTGCCATCCAACAGAACCGTGGACATCAAAAGAGCAAAGACCATGGCTGTTAAAGCTAGTCATAAGAAAACACATTTCACTATTATTCTAGCCTGTTATGCAGATAGGACAAAGCTCCACCTATGACCATCTTTAACAGAAAAAACATTTCAGAAAGAAAAGATTCCAAGTGGAGTTACTGCCTACACGAATGAAAAGGATAGATGAATGAAAGAGGCATGAAAATCTGGTTTAACAAAGTCTGGCCATGAAGGCCTGGAGAATTACTTAAAAATCTAGCTTTGCTTATTTTTGATCACTTCAAAGCCCGTGTTACACAGAGTGCTAAAGGAATTGCAGGAGACTTGAAAAACCACTTGCTGTGACACCTAGTGGGCCAGCCAGCCAACTGCAACCTCCTGATGTGCCAGTATGCAAGCCATTTAAGGTCCTGATGAACAAAGAGTGGATGCAGTCAGCTGGTAATGATTTAACACCTACAGGCAGGATCAAGAAAGAATCCATCGCTAAGGTTTGTGATTGGATCCGAAGATTGTGGAACGATGTCAAGAAAGAAGTGGTTGTGAGATAGTTTAAAAAATTCTGCATCAATAATGCTGTAGATGGAACTGAGGATGATGCAGCTTACTGGGATGAGGAAAATGACTCTTCAGAAGACAACAGTAAGGTAGAAATTAAAGATGATACTTCTGATATTGACAGTGATGAAGAGTTCTTGGCCTTCTATGATGTGCTTATATTGTAAATTAGTTACTGGTACATAAAATTTCTTGTACCATAATTTTTTCAAAAATAAAAGCTAAAATTAATTTATAATAACAGAAGACAAGTATCTAAATATGATTAAATAAAAAATTGAATTAAAAAATTAAAATGAAAGATTTTTTCCTGAAAGTTTTGGTCAGAAACATGGGTGCACATTATACATGGGAGCACAATATACATGGCAAGATATGATACTCAGTGCATAGATTATATTAATCTTTTTTCAGCAGATTTATATAGGAATTATTGTAGACATTTTTTAAATCTCTTATAATGAAAGATAATAGTAATGTGTCTTCTGGTTTGTTATTTAGATCTGGAAGGTGGATGGATTCCCTGTATATAAAAAAGCAATCAAATTAACAGTGAACAGCCTACTAATACCTGGGGGCTGTGAGGTGTCTGAAACTTTGAAAGCTGATGAGAGTGGGAGACTCAGGGATGAAATGACAGAGTTGTGAAGAGCCAACTAATAGAAATAAAGTCATGTTTGATAGTATGTTGATGATCTAGTCTAATATTATGTGGATTTAAAAATTAAGAGGATTGTGTTTGCTTAGTGATTAATTTATGTTTGGTAATCTTTGTTATATTAGAAAAAGGTAAGAAACAAATAACCATATTTTAGTTAATCAGTTTATGTGATATTTTGGGGGATTCTCAAACTGCTACATTTGTATTGTTTTCATACATTTGTAGGTTGCCATAAGAAAACAACACAGATTTGGTGCCTTGAACAACAGTATTTTCTCACAGTTCTGGTGGCTGGAAGTTTGAGATCAGGGTGCCAGTGGGGTTCTAGTGAAGACTCTCTTCCTTGCTTATAGATAGCCAACTTCTCTGTGGGTCTTACCATGGCCTTTCCTGTGTGCAAACATGTGGAGAGATGAAGAGAGATCCCTTTTCTGCTTCTTATAAGGCCCACGGTTCTCTCTGATTAGAACCCCTTTCTTATTACATCATTTAACATTACCTATTTTCTAAAAGCCCTATCCCCAAATATAGTTACATTGGGGATTAATACTTCAACACATGAATTTTAGGGAGACACATTGCAGTCCATACTAATTTGGATCATGTACGTTAATATTCCTAAATAATGAATGTGATTTTAACTTAATAGGTTTACATTAAGTGTGTGTTTTGACAATTTTTTGACAGAATCTGTGTTCATTCTCAAAATAATTTGCCATGTAAATTAAGATATAACAGTATATAGTATTTACTGTATTCCTTATAGAGCAGGGTATATGCTTCTATAAATGAGAGTGCTGAGAAAGTGCTGTAGGATCATTGAAATCTTACAGCATCTTTCTTTGGCAGTAGCTCTGCTCTTCTATTCAGCTCCCCTTATGTCATGGCATATGTTTGGCTTTGGCCGTAACTTCTTTTAGCAGTATTCATACAGTTTCTATAATTTATAGTAAATTGCATTGCAGTAACATTTGTTACGTCCTTCAAAATGGCGCAGGGAGGTTTCTACCAGTCCCTAATGGACTGCTGCTCTTTTTTTTTTTTTTTTTAAGATTTTATTTATTTATCTTTAGAGGGGAAGGGAAGGAGAGAGGGAGAGAAACATCAATGTATGGTTGCTTTTTCCTGCGTCCCCTGCTGGGAACTGGCCTGCAACCCAGGCATGTGCCCTGACTGGTAATTGAACCACGATTGTCTGGTTTGCAGGCCCACCCCCAGTCCACCGAGCTACACCAGACAGGGACTGGACTGCTGCTCTTTTTTAAAAAATATATTTTATTGATTATGCTATTACAGTTGTCCCATTTTTTCCCCCTTTATTCCCCTCCACCCTGCACTTCCCCTCCCTCCTACATTCCCCCACTTTAGTTCATGTCCATGGGTTGTACAAATAAGTTCTTTGGCTTCTACATTTCCTATACTATTCTTAACCTCCCCCTGTTTATTTTCTGCCTACCATATCTGCTACTTATTCTCTGTACCTTCCCCCCTCTCCTGCTGATAACCCTCCATGTGATCTCCATTTCTGTGGTTCTGTTCTTGTTCTAGTTGTTTGCGTAGTTGTTTTTTTTTCTTTTAGGTTCCATTGTTAATAGCTATGAGTTTGTTGTCATTTTAATGTTCATATTTTTTATCTTCTTTTTCTTAGATAAGTCCTTTTAACATTTCATATAATATGGGCTTGGGTGATGATGAACTCCTTTAACTTGACCTTATCTGGGAAGCACTTTATCTGTACTTCCATTCTAAATGATAGCTTTGCTGGATGGAGTAATCTTGGATATAGGTCCTTGCCTTTCATGATTTGGAATACTTATTTCCAGCCTCTTCTTGTCTGCAAGGTTTATTTTGAGAAATCAACTGATAGTCTAATGGGAACTCCTTTGTAGGAAATTCTCTCTTTTTCTCTTGCTGTTTTTAAGATTCTCTCCTTATCTTTAATCTTAGCTAATGTAATGATGATGTGCCTTCTTGATCCTTTGTTTCTTAGACCATTTTCTTGGAAAACTTAGAACTATAATAATAGTTGATTTTAAAGGTCCAGGTAAGTACTATTCTTTGTTTGCAGCAACTTTAGCATTCTGAACATTATGTTAAGACTGCTACTTATTAGAATACAAAAGAAAAAGAAATATGGAAGACGTGTTACACTGTGGCCAGCTAGAACACATTCACATTATTATATTATTAGCTCTCATTAGCCAAACGTTTATAATAGCTCATATAACACAGGAGAAAAAATTCAAAGCAAAAGTGCAATGTAATGTGTATTGTATTACATATGTTGAGGGGAAAAATGTAAAGGAGAAATGGTGTTACAGCCATGACATTAAACAGTGGAAAGACAATATGTAAATTTCATCCTATTTTGTTCATGTCTCTTCAAGCATATTGTGGCAAACATTGGAAGTGTTGCCTACAAGGATTATTATTGTGTTAGATTTAGGATCAACTAGATCAGACAGGTTATTACTAGCTAAATGTTGGTAAATGAAAGAAGCTGTAATGAGAATTGAAGCTGAAAAAAAGTAGAAAGCTTCTCTTCTAAGGAGATAAACCCAGCCCATAAATAGAAAGTGAATAAGGTTGTAAGTAGATAAGAATTAGGGCAAACTATTTGATACTGGGGACAGGAAAAATGTGAGACTGGCAGGTGCCTATTTTTTATGTGGTACAAATACAGTATTGTTGTGGCCAAAAAGAGGCAGTAAAGGTGGTCAAACCTTTCAGGAAAGAGAAAATTTAAAGCTAGAGAATCACTGTTTTTCTAACATTCTTTTTTGCCTCTGGTGCTTTAGAAAAGTCTGCTCTCCTTGGGGTCATAGTTAGTAGTAGTTTTTACTTTCCAGCTAGTAAGGACTACAAAATTTGGAAGTGATACATGTTCACAGAGATGATACCTTCTAGCTTTCTTTTTTATCCAGCACGGTCCTGGAAACATTGGAGACATGTGCTAGCTACCTGCTATTGCAATTTGGAATTGTCAAAGAACTATGAAGGGTCTGAGAGTTTATCTAAGCCTGCCGTAGTTTCATGGATGTTGGTAGAAGACATGAAACTCCTTGCTGAGAGCTAAAGGACTTTATTTCTCATAGCACAGCAAGCAGCATTAGGTTCATGTTTACGGTGGTTCTCCCGGGTCCCTCAAGTCTCACAAAGGTGTTGTACATGGGTCAGTTGGATCCTGTACTCAAAGTAGGTTTTTGTCACAGCTGAGAAACCCCAAGCTTAGGGAACCTTGATTTTTTTATAGTAGTCTGAAAGCATATCTGCCTGACCTTTGCTCCATAGGGAAATAACATCATGATTATACTAGACAGTAAACAGGCTCACTGGTCTGGAGGTAGATACCATCTCTATTTTTCAAGGTCATTTTCTATAAATATATATGAGAAAGATACAGGCTGTCAGAGCCTCTTTTTGAAAATTGCAGGAATACAGACACCCATGGAAAATTGTCTCCCAACAGGAAGTGGTTAGTATGAAAAGTCATTGAGGTCTGAGTGTTCTTGGATTTTTTATTCTATACTAGTTTTTTGAGCTTTTAAGTCAGAGTTGGAAAACTTTCTGTAAAGGGGCAGATAATTAAATGTTTTAGGCTTTGTGAGCCATATAATTTCTGTCACAACTATTGAACTTGGCTTGTTATGTCAGGAAGGCAGACACAGGTAAAACATAAATGAGTGAACCTGGATGTGTTTCAGTAAGACTTCACAGACATTGAAATTTGAATTTCTCATGATTTTCACACATCAAAATATATATACTTTAAAGATTTTATTTATTTTTAGAGGGGAAGGGAAGGAGAGAAGGAGAGAAATATTCATGTATGGTTACCTCTCGTGCGTTCCCTGCTGGGAACTGGCCTGCAACCCAGGCATGTGCCCTGACTGGGAATCGAGCCTCAATCCTTTGGTTCGCAGGCCCTCACTCAATCCACTGAGCTACACCAGCCAGGGCCAAAAACAATTTTTTTAACCATTGAAAAAAATAACATCCATTTTTAGCTTGTGGGTTTTACAAAAATAGGTTGCAGGCCAAATTTGGCTTGTTTGTCATAGTTTGCCAACCCGTTTTATATGATAAATTAAAAAAAATATAATACATTGTTTAATACAGCAGTCTTGCATTTGAATTAATGTTTTTATATAGATTTATAGATATATGGTCAATATTTTATAGTAATTGATAGTTCTAAAATATGTTCTCATAAATTATCCCAGTTTAACTTCAGAGTAGGCATGCGAGATAAGCATCAGTATCTCCATTTTATGGTGAGAAAAGTATGCATAGAGAAAGTAGGAGACCTACCCAATGACAGAGACAAGACTGATTATATTCTGGACTTTTTCTCCATATGCTATAGTTTCAACTTTAATAATCAGCACATCATGTCACTATATCTTTAATATCCATTTCTTGCCAGAAAGCTTAGAGTTCAGTTTTACAAATAAAAATAATAATGCATACTCATTTCTACTTTTCTATATTACTATATCCTAATGCTAGTTATTGTAATATTAAAAGGCAATTTGATGAAAGGAGGTGAAGCTAAATATAGGAGGTGAAGAGTATGTGTTACAAAGTTCGGTAAAGACTTGGCAGCTGAATAGTATAGTCATTCATATAATATAGTTCTTTTTAACATTTTCAAAGATAATCATTATTTTTAGATGTATACCATGAAAATTATACACTAAGGACCTCACCCATATCCCTTGTATTTGTGCTTAGCTAATACTTTAATTTATCTAACAAGTTTTATTCAAATTTTTAAAGTGGAGATGGTGAGAATATTTTCTATAATGCACTCTTTGGATTGCTTCCCTATCAGGTGGTTGAAGATTATGCTGGAAGATGGCAGGTCCCTTTGCCACAGCTTCAAGTTCTTCAGACTGCCCTTTGCTGTTTTACATCAGCCAGTGCATCATTCCCGGATGAATGTGAGCACGTACAGTATGTTTTGAGTAGTCTTGCTTTGTAAGTACTCTTTAAAAATATTATAAAAATATTATCACGATATAATTGAAAATTTTTATTATTTTCTTTGGGGAAGGCACCTTTCATAAAATCTTCTTTCCAAAAGAAATGAACATTTTTTCATTTAAGTATTTATGTTTAATTGTGAACATTTAATCACAATTTTACTTTTAGTGCCAAAGTTAAAGGGAATTATAATATACATTCTCAGGGTCACTACCAGCATTTCCCTTCTTAATTCCCTGGATTGTTTTGGCAAGCTGTAATGGTAAGTCTCAGAATATAGCAATGAAGGCCTCCATGATTAGCAGAGGGACCTTAAAGGAAAACTCTTGGTTTTTAAAAAACACTTGTAGAAAGTGTTTTGAGTTAAATATCACAGACTTCTGACTAAGTTGGAGGCCTAGGTAAACATGCTTCGCCTCCTCACACAACTACAGTAAATTACAAACAGATATCAACAAAATTAACACCCAGAGCCGTCAGAAAATCAAGCTGTATGGCAGTTGGACAACCAGGGATTTAAAGAAACCACATTCATCCAGAGAGGTAGAGGGCTGGAGATGTAGAGATGAGTGGAGAAGGGTGGAGACCCAGTGTGTTGTGTAGAGGTGGGGGAATGAGCGGTCAGTCACATTTTCTCATTTGGTAAATAAAAACCGGGAGGGATACCTAAGAGTGAAGGATCTCACACCCAGGCCAGACCACACAGCCCAGGGTTCCAGAGACTGGATGATAAATCCCCATAATTTCTGGCTGTAAAAACTAGTGAGGATTGGGGCGGCAGATGAAACTGCCCGATTTTTAGGATACTCTGAAAGGATCTGCACAGAGTTAGAACTTATACATATCCACTGCCTCTGGGATTCAGCACCAGGATATCAGCTCGAAGGGCACCAGTAACAAATAGGGAGTAAGTAAAGTAACTAGAAACTGGGTGTGTGCTGGGCAAACCTCTGGAAGCCAGGTGACAACACTGTCCATCCTCTGAGTCCTCCCCCCACACAGCAACAAAGTGGTGAACTGGGTTGCCCCACTCTGGCAATTACCTAAGGCTCAGCCCCAAACATCATACAAGTGCCCTTTCTATAATATGCCATGCTACTAAGACACAGAGTCAAAGCAGCTCTACCTAATACACAAGGATAATGTGAAATTGAAGAGAGAAAGAAATATGGCCCCCCAAAAAGAACAAAACCCCAGCAAAAGAACTAAATGAAATGGAGATATCCAACCTAACAGATGCAGAGTTCAAAACACTGGTTGTCAGGATGCTGAAAGAACTCATTGAGTAAGGCAACAGCATAAAAAAAGACTCGGGCAGAAATGAAGATTAAACTAATGAAATAAAAAAATTTCTACAAGGAACCAACTGTGGAGGGGATGATGCCCAGAATTCAAATGAACTATTTGGAACATAAGGAAGAAAAAGGCATTCAATCAGAACATCAAGAAGAAAAAAGAATTCAAAAAAACAAGAATAGGATAAGGAGCCCCTGGGACATCTTCAAATATACCAATGTCTGAATCATAGGGATGCCAGAAGAAGAAGAGGAAGAGTGGGTAACTGGAAATCTATTTGGAAAAATATTGAAAGAAAACGTCCCTAATTTGGAAATAGACATGCAAGTCCAGGAAGCACAGAGAGTCCCAATCAAGTTGGACCCAAAGGCGACCACTCCAAGACACGTCATAATTAATATGCCAAAGGTTAAAGATAAAGAATCTTAAAAGCAGCAAGAGAAAAGGAGAGAGTTATTTACAGGGGAGTTCCCCTAAGACTTTCAGCTGATTTCTCAAATGAAACTTTGCGGGCTAGAAGGGACTGGCAAGAATTATTCAAAGTGATGAAAAGCAAGGACTTACAACCTAGATTACTCCATCCAGCAAGGCTATCATTAGAACTGAAGGGCAGATAAAGTGCTTCCCAGACAAGGTAAAGCTAAAGGAGTTCATCATCACCAAGCCATTATTATATGAACTGTTATCGAGACTTAATTTAAGTAAAAGAAGATGACCAAAACTGTGAACATTAAAATGACAACAAACTCAAAACTATCAGCAACTGAATCTAAAAAAAACCCTAAGCAAACAAGCAAAACAAACAGAATCTTAGATATGGAGATCACATGGAGGGTTATCAGCTGGGAGGTGTATGGGGGAGAATGGGGAAAAGGGTGCAGGGAATAAGAAGCATCACAGGTAGGTACAGATTAGGGGGGTGTTAAGAATAGTATAGGACATGGAGAAGCCAAATATTTATATGCATGACCCATGCATGTGAACTAAGGTGGGGATTGCTGGAGGGAATGGGGCTATTGTTCAGAGGAGGCAAAGGGGGAAGTATTGGAACAACTGTAATAGCATAATCCACAAAATATATTTTTAAAAAAGTAAAGATCACAGACTTATGTTTATCCTTTTTACCCTCCTACTGTAGCACCCTACACTGGAAAATTATAGTGAAGAATTAAGAGACAGAAGTACAGTGAAAAGAAAAGTTATCAGTGAATGAAAGATTTCAACAATTTTCTGAGCGACAGAAAATAGGCTGCGTTCAAACATGGCAGAGCAAGTCACAAATTAATTTGATTTTTCTGTGTGTGGTTTTTGTGCCTCAAATTGCATTTACATTACAGTGGTGGGTTTTGATATTATCAACATTACAAAATAGAAAATATGAGTATGTCTCATAGGATAAATATTTTCTGAAATGCTTATTTTTTAATTTATTTTTATATCCAGTCATGTGTCAAATAATGACTTTTGGCCAATGATAGACTGCATGTACAATGGTGGTCCCATACATTATAATGGAGCTGAAAAATCCCTATTGCCTACTGACATAGTCATCATAATGTCTTAGTGTAAAAGTTTCAAAATTCACCAAGGCTGTGATTGAGCTGGCAAATAACTTTAACCAGGGTGTGGATGAGAATGATAATGAGGAATTCTAAGAGGTGATTCCTGAAGAAGTGAATAATGTGGATTTGCTGGAACTGGAACAGGAATGTATAGATAAAGAAAAGCAAAGAGAAAAGGAAACTCCAAAAGAAAATCGATAGTTCAGGGTTAGCAAAAGCTTTTCAAGATCTTATCAGGCACCTTAAAACATTTAAAAGCTGAACTCCAACACTGAAAGGTTTTCATTAATAGAAAGGAATGTTCATGGTGCATTATTTGCATACAAGACAGTCTATGAGGAGAAAAAGAAACATACCAAACAAACTACCATGGACATATTTCATCTCCCATCCAAGTACTAACCAGGCCCAAGCCTGCTTATTAGCTTCTGAGATTAGACAAGATTGGGTGCATTTAGGGTGGTATGGCTGTAGACCCATGGATATATTTCAGAAAGCAGTAAGATGTCAAGAAGAGACACACAGGTCCTTCGTGATGTATTCCAGAAAAAGACATTGTTATCACAGGAAAATAAAGCTCCATGTGTGTTATTGGCCCTGAATACCTTCCAGTGGGATAAGATGTATCAGTGAAAGACAGTGGTGTTGATGACCTGACCCTGTTTAGGCCTAGGGTAAATGTTTGTGTGTTAGTTTTAAACAAAAAATGTGTAAATAGTAAAAAATAAAAATAGAAAAAATCTTGTGGAATAAGAATATAAAGAAAAATATTTTTGTACATGTTTTTTAAGTGAAATATATTTATAAGAATTAAAAACTAAGTAAGTTTATAAAGTAAAGATATTATATTAAACTCAGGTTAATTTATGATTTAAAAGAAGAACATTCTTTTATAAATTTAGAGTAGCCTAAATGGACAGTGTTTATTAAAAAGTCTACAATAATGTACACTAATGTCTTAGGACTTCAAGTTCACTCACTACTCACCCACACACCCACACAACTTCCAGTCCTAGAAGTTTTATTCATATTAAGTATTCTGTGCAGGTATTCCAGTTTTTATCCTTTCTGCTGTCCCTTTTCTGTTTTAGGTATGTTTAAATACACAAATAGTTATAGTTGCTTGCAGTATTCACTACAGTAACATGCTGCACAGGATTGCAGTACAGAAGTAGAAACAGCTGGCTATATCTTATAACCTAGGTGTGCAGTGGGCTATACCATCTAGGTTTGTGTAAGTGTACTCTATGATGTCCACACAATGTCAAAATCATATGTCGACACAGTTCTCAGAATGTATTCCTGTTGTTAAGCAACTGTACAGCAACTCATGACTTCTTTGTAAAACACTTCTTAAAAACTGCTGGTAGCAATTAAAATAATTTGTCCTCTACCTTATTCAAGAGGAGGAAGTCATCTGTCCTTCAGCCCTACCCCCAGAAGCCCAGAGAGGTATAGAATTTGAACATGCAAGGCATGAAATAGAAGTAGGAATGAGATATTTTGGAAGTATGCAGATTAAAGCATTAACAGCAGTTTTTCCATACAGAGCAATCACCAGGCCTTAGTGTAGGGTGGAAAATGGTATTGCTATTCCTTTTTAAAAATATTCTGGCCATTCTATCTCTTTGAGAGAGTTAGCTGGTAATTATCCTAAAGAAAACTCACCAGTACCAAACCTACAACCCCTTCGGTTAGTAGACATGCATAATGGGTATTAAGCATGTCTCCTTAATGGGTATTAATGGGTATTATTCAGGAATCCTCAGACACACATGAGGAATGCTTTAACATGAAAAAATACAATGAAAACAATAAAAAATTCTGGAAGAAATAGTGTTAATTTTGAAAACAGTAAAATTAAAAGAAATAGAATGTCTATAATTAGTATTATCAGAGAGAATTGAGACGATATATTTAATGTTAAAACATCAACATACCATGCTGAAGGGAATAATGAGATACCAACATGAGTTTCTGGAAATTAAGAAAATATAATTGTTAAACTTTAAAGTTCTGTAGGAAGGTAGAAGGTAAAAATTGAAGAAATAATGCAGAATATAAATTAAAACCCAAGAGAAGGAATGTGTTTTTTAAAAAATGATAATGGTAGCTCCATGTAGGAGATTTGTTATT